CTATAGCTTCCTTTCACAAGCTTTGGCGTTAGGATGATGCTGGCATCATAAAAAGAAATTTGTAATTTTTCTCCTGTCTTAAGTTTTTTTGGAAGACTTTGAGAGAATTGTTATTGATTCCCTTTAAATGTTTGATAGAATTCACTAGTGAAGGCATCTGGTTCTGGGCTTTTCTCTGTTGGGAGGTTTTTAATAACTATTAAATCTCCTTACTTGTCCTTGATCTGTTCAGATTTTCTATTTCTTCATGATTCAGTTTTGGTAGGTTCTATTTTTCTGAGAATCTATTAATTTCTTCTCAGTTATCCAACTTATTGGTGTATAATTATAGTCCTTGAGGGCTTTCCAGTGGCTTAGACGGTAAAGAGTCTGACTGCAATGCAGGAGGCCCAGGTTTGATCCCCGAGTCAGGAAGATCCCTGGAGAAGGAAATGGCAACCCACTCCAGTGTTCTTGCCTGGAAAATTCCATGGATGGAGAAACCTGTGCACTACAATCCATGGGGTTGCAAAGAGTCAGACATGACTGAGTGACTAACACACACACACAATTATAGCTGTCTCTTATGATCCTTAGTATTTCTATAGATCAGCTGTAATGTCTCTTTCATTTTGGATTTCATTTGAATCTTCTCTCAGTCTAGCTAGAAGCTTATCACTTTTATCTTTTTAAAAAAAATCATCTGAGTTTTATTTTTGTCTTTCTAGTCTATTTCATTTATTTCTGCTTTGTTCTTTGTTATTTTCTTTCTTCTGCTATCTTTTCTTTGATTATTCTTTTATTAGTTATTGGGGTATAAAGCTAGGTTGTTTGAGATCTTCCTTTTTTGATGTGTTTATTGGTATAAATTTCCCTTTTGGAACTGCTTTTGTTGCATCCCATTATTTTGGTATGTTGTATTTACATTTTTATTTGTCTCAAGATATTCTTTAGTTCCCTTTTGATTTCCTCTTTGACCCATAGTTTTGTTTCAATAGTAAGATATTTAACTTCCATATATTTATGAATTTTGCTGTTATCTTCTTGTACTTGATTTCTAATTTAATACTATTATGGTTAGAAAAGATGCTTGATATCATTTTAGTTTTCATAAATTTTAAAGACTTATTTTGTTAGATAACATAATCTGTCTTGGAGAATGTTCAAAGCATCCTTAAAGAGAATGTTTACTTTGCTGTTATGGGAAGGGATGTTTATACATGTCTATTAGATCTATATCATCTAAAGTGTAATTCAAGTTTAGTGTTTTCTTACTCATTTTCTATCTGAATTATCTACTCTTTAATGAAAGTGATGTAATCAAGTCTCCTATAATTAGTGCATTGTTGTCTACTCATCCCTTCAGGTCTCTTAATATTTGCTTTTTAAGTTTAGGTGCTGTGATATTGGGTGCCTAAATATTTGCAATAGTTATATCCAAAATAACAATACCTTAGAGAGTCTTAAATCAGTGTACCATCAGGCTGCTATCTACTTCTTCAAGCACATCTAATAAATGCTTTCCTTTTTTGCTTTGCTTTTCCTCTTGTCACAGCAGATTTCTCCTAATTCCTAGAACATGTCATTTTCTTCTTATTGTTTCTGTTTTGGATTCTTTCTCAATTTGATGCTCTCTACTATAAACCCATTCTGGTCCTATTACTCTAGGTAAAGTATATTCCCTGTTCACTAATTAAAAGAAGAAAAGGGTGAAAATAGTGTTAACTATTTAGTTTCTTCCGCTAGACTGTGAGATTCATAAGGACAGGAAAGTGTCTTTTTGTATTCTGTTGTTTCCCCAACAGGTAGAAATTGTCCCTGGAATAAATAGTTATTCAGTAAATATTTCTTGAGGAAATAATTATTCCTAAAAATCAAGTTTCTTGGAAACAGAATTATTGGCAAATGGTATGCATGTTTTAGAAATTTTTCATACTTACTTTCAAATTGTCTAGAATAAGGATTATATCAATTTAAACTCCTGTCAGTAATGTAGGAGACCATCCATTTAATAATATTTTAATTTTTGAGGGGAGGGTAGATTATCTTTAAAATAATTTTTGCTAGTTTTACATTGATATTATTTTAATCTTAATTTTAGAAGTGAAGTTGACCTCTTTTATATGCTTATTGGCCAGTTATTTTTCCTCTATACATCTTCTATTTATGTTCTTTAAATTTTTTTCTATTGTATTATTTGTATATTGATTTTCTAAAACTTTTTAGTGTTTTAAGTATAGCTGTTTGTCTATGTGGTATTTTACACTTATTTTTTAACTGCAATTTAATTAAAAAAACTTAATTCACAGAAGTTCTACTGTTTTATCACTTGTTTCCCACCCTTCCACTGAAATTGCTCTTACTCAAATTACCAATTTCCTTATAGATACCATATCCAATGGACATTTTTCAGACTTCATCTTATTTTATCTGTTCAGTTTAGAACAAAGCAATGTAGGGCACAGTTTAGATATTTGGTCTATATTGATTTGAAATATCTCTGCTATCTCTAAATCATAGCTTTCAAAGTCATCATAATTATAAATGAAATTACATGCTACTCAACAAATTTATTTTTGGTAAAATTAAATACAAGTCATCAGGTAGAGGTCTTTCAGCAAACCCCTCTGGTTTTATAATTGCAGAAATTGGTCAAATATTGTATGAAACTAAGTGCCAAGCCTGAGTCAGAAATAAGGAAACTAGTATTAGAGATTGAGAGAGTCAGAAGTGCATCATGTCAAGTGGGAGTCAGAAACACGGGGTTATGAAATGTTCTGTTGTTTTCCTAGGACTGCCATAAGAAAGTATCAAAAACAAGGTTAAAACAACAGGAATGTATTCTAGTTTAGAGGCTTAAAGCCCCTAAGTCAAGGTGTTGGTAGGATTATGCTCCCTCTGAAGCCTCAAAAGTAAGCTCCTTCATTGCCTCTTCAACTTCTGGTAGTCCTAGGTGTTCCTTGCCTTGTAGCAATATAACTCTAATTTTTGCTTCCATCTCATATGGCCATTTTCTCTGTGTGTTGTTTTTTTTTTTGTCCAAATTTTCTTCTTTTTAGAATTCCATCTTACCCTGATTACATTTGCAAATACCTTATTTCCAAATAATGTCACATTTGGAGGTACTATAGGTTGGGACTTCAACTTATCTTTTGGGGGATATGTAACTGAACCTGCAACAAATGTGAACCAAGTCAAGGAGAGGAACTAAATCATATGAGATTTCCTAAACAAAAGTTAGAACACCAAACCTAAAATTGACCAGATAGTCAATAATATAATTTTTGGTTAGATTAGTAGGACAAAAGGATCATTTGTGGATCTTAAAAAATATGATGAGAAAGTATTTTATGATATCACTCATAATTCTATTTGGAATAGCAAGTAGATTGGTTGACTAGGAATGCTAATTTGCTTCTATGAATAAACTAGTAGCAACAGGCTATTTACTGTAATTGTTTGGTGTGCAATTAAGAAAGATCAAGTTCTTCATTATTACTTAGAGGGGAAAACTATTTATCAAATAATTAGAAGTTGAGTTTACATCTATGGAAATCTTGGCAAAATCTTATTTAAGTTGAAGCAGCAAAATTAATCCAGTACTTGTAATGTTATATTAAACCCAATTAAGGCATTATTGGTTTTGACATTTATTTCTTGTTATGAGTTGGCCCAGAATAGACTTTGAAGATAACCACATAAAATGTCAGAAACTTGATTGCAAAATACACATTCAGTGTTTGACAGATGCAATTGAGCAGAAAACCAGACCACAAAGAGGCTGATTAACAATCTAGTTTTCAGCAGGTCAAATTAAAACCTACATCAATACTTCTGTAAAATGACTTTGGTTTTACTTCATTTTGTAAAATCTTAGAAAGATAAAATGTAGTGGAACAAAATAGACAAAAATGAAAGCAAAGCAAGTTGAGATGTAGGACAGGCAGCATGGTTTCTAATTGCATTCCTCCCAATTACACCCAACAACTATTCACTGATCCTTGTTTAGAGATAGAGGATGCTTTAGGGGCTGGATCAAAGAGTGTGAAAAGTGCTTATCTATTTGGCTAGGATTAAGAACTTATTAACCTTCAAGTAATTAATCATCAGGAATGACAAATGTACCAGATACTTAAGCCTTTGCTTTCCTCATTAAGTATTGAGCTACCTCAGAAAAAATTAGTTCATAAATTATTACATTCTGTACTACATTCCTGTTGGATCTCACCTCATTTAGTAAACATCTTTCCTGTTTAATCTCTGGCTATGACTAAAATTTTAAAATATTAGGAATTTAAACATATTCTTAGGTTAAAGACGTAATAATAATTGTTTAGGTATTGTCTCTTGTGACTACATTTTTAAAAATCTATTTGCTCTTCATTACCATTACTTAGATTTAAAGGAATAGGATTTTGCACATCTTTTGACCAGTTCATCTTTCTTGTAAAATTTCTGTGTGATATATGTTAAAGTTTATTTATCTTTTAAATCTATTATAGTTCCATTTACAGTATGCTTAACTGGGATTTCTCTTTTAAGCTTCAATTAAATGATTTTATCTTCAATGGGAATTCATTCCCATGCAATTATTCAGCAGAATATATAGTGGTTGCATAAAAAATGCATTTTTTTTCACTTGACATATATTTAGACTCAACAGTATTTTATTTGTCAAACTTTGGGTGGAACTATTTTCTGAGATAATTGAAAATTAGACTATCTCAAGTTATTTGAGAAGGCACACGTGCCATGCGTGTATACAAACTTTGATAGTAGGCTCCTGTGGCTACTGAATACCAAGGAGATAATGAACTTTCATGGGTATGGACCTCAGAACTCAAGTTTTTCAAACAATATTAACTTTCCCTCAAATGATATAAATATATACTGGCAGAACATTGCCACACATGTGTTACCAGTTGTTTTCTCCAACAACTGAAAGTACACTGCAGAATTCTGAATTCTGCATTACAGCTGTCTTTAACAGCAGGATGAAGCAAACAGTATTAAAAGTTCAAAAGCATCAACCCCAACTAAAAGAAAGCAGCATTACCAGAATTTACTTCATATTCCTCTGCTAGACAAAAGCTTGTTTTCAACTTGATGTTTCAAGCAGTAGATTTCTCACTTGTGGCCAGCATCCGTGAGTTGTTTACCAGGTTAAAAAGTTCTGGATATATCATTGATGGAACCTTGTAGTGACAATTGGCTGTGATGTCACAGACTCTTAGTTAAACTTCTAGAAGTTATATTTAGTCATACCAGAGATTAAACAGGAAAGATGCTTACTAAATGAGGTGGGATCCAACATGATTGTAGTACAGAATGTAATAATTTATGAACTAACTTTTTCCTGAGGTAGTTCAGCAGAAGAACACTTAATGAGGAAGGCAAAGACTTAAGTATCTGGTACATTTGTCATTCCTTATGGTCAATTTACTTGAATGTTAATAAGTTTGAAATCTACCAGTTTTAGAAATGGAAGAAAAGGATGAATCTGAACAGTCTATCTCGGCAGGGAGGCAAGAAATTCGAAAGAGAAGACGACCCAGCCAGCCCATGGTAGATAAATCCCAGCAGACTGAAGTAACAGAGAAAAAGAAACAATTGTCTATACCACAATCATCTGGCCCCAAAGCTGCCCTTAGTATTGGTAATATTCCTGGAAGCAAATTAAACTATGAACGTCATAGAGTATCTTCTCAACTTCAGCAAACTTGGATAAAGAGAAAGCGTGTACAGAATATGGCTGATAAGTCTCTGCAGACAGAAACTATTGCAGAAGAGAAAAAAGAAGAAATCAAATTAGTTTGTGAAGCAGCGGTACCTGAGGAAAAGCCAGCTGCTGTTGAAGTAGGTCCTGAATTTCCAGAGAGTGTTCAGGAAGTAGAAGTTCCACCAAGCAGATACTCTGCTCAAGTCAAAGCAGACAGATCTCAGCAGACTAGTTGTACTGGAGACTGGACAATGATGAACTTTCCTGAAAAAGATAAACTAGACAAGGAACAGCAGACATACTTTAGTGAATCAGAAATGGTGGTTATTGGACGGTCGACTAATTCTTTTTCAAAGTCAAAGAAAGGTGCACAGAAGCGCAAATCTTCAGGGAGTATTTTTGTTAGTGAACATCCTGAATTTCAACCCACAACAAGTAGCAATGAAGAAACTAGGCGGCAAAGTATTAGCAGAACATTATCTATTCCACCAACCAAAAAAGATTCTCCTGTACCTTTAGAAGATGAGAAAGATGTTCCAGTTGAAGTACAGCCTCCTGCTGCAGAAGAGATCTCTGCTGAAGAACAACTTCCACTAGACGAGACTACTGCAGAAGAGGTTCCTGTGGAAGTTCAACCTCCACCAACTGAAGAGGCTCCTCTTGAAGTACAGCCTTCCCCAGCTGAAGAGGCTCCTGGAGATGAGGCCCCTGCTAAAGTAGAGCCTATGCCAGCCAAAGAGGCTCTTTCAGAAGAGCCTCCTGCTGAAGAGGCTCCTGTTGAAATACAGCCTTCCCCAGTGGAAGAGGCTGCTGGATATGAGGCCCCTGCTAAAGTAGAGGTCACCTCATCTGAAAAGACTCTTTTAAAAGAGCCTCTTACTGAAGTTCAGCCTCCTGCAGCTGAAGAGGTTTCTACACAAGAGGCCCCAGAACTTCAACTTTCACCAGCTGTGGAGTCCCCTGCAGAAGAGGCCCCAGAGGTTCAGCCTCCACCAGCTGAGAAGGCCCCTGCAGAAGAGGCCCCAGCTGAAGCTGAGCCTCCACCAGCTGTGGAGTCCCCTGCAGAAGAGCCCCCAGAGGTTCAGCCTCCACCAGCTGAGCAGGCCCCTGCAGAAGAGGCCCCAGCTGAAGCTGAGCCTCCACCAGCTGAAGAGGCCCCTGCAGAAGAGCCCCCAGAGGTTCAGTCTCCACCAGCTGAGGAAGCCCCTGCAGAAGAGCCCCTGGAAGTTCAGTCTCCACCAGCTGAGGAAACCCCTGCAGAAGAGCCCCCAGAGGTTCAGTCTCCACAAGCTGAGCAGGCCCCTGCAGAAGAGGCCCCAGCTGAAGCTGAGCCTCCACCAGCTGAAGAGGCCCCTGCAGAAGAGCCCCCAGAGGTTCAGTCTCCACCAGCTGAGGAAGCCCCTGCAGAAGAGCCCCTGGAAGTTCAGTCTCCACCAGCTGAGGAAACCCCTGCAGAAGAGCCCACAGAGGTTCAGTCTCCACAAGCTGAGCAGGCCCCTGCAGAAGAGGCCCCAGCTGACGCTGAGCCTCCACCAGCTGAAGAGGCCCCTGCAGAAGAGGCCCCAGAGGTTCAGTCTCCACCAGCTGAGGAGGCCCTTGAAAAAGAGGCCCCAGAAGTTCAGTCTGTACCAGCTGGGCAGGCCCCTGCAGAAGAGGGCCTAGGATTTCAGCCTCCACCAGCTGACAAGGCCCCTGAAGAAGAGGCCCCAGAAGTTCAGTCTCCACCGGTTGACAAGGGCCCTGAAGAAGAGGGCCAAGGACTTCAGTCCCTACCAGCTGAGGAGGCCCTTGAAGAAGAGGCCCCAGAAGTTCAATCTCCACCCACTGAGGAGGCTCCTGCAGAAGAGACCCCTGCTGAACTTCAGTCTCCATCAATTGAAGAAACTACTTCAGAAATGGTCTCTGTTGAGAAACAGCCTTCGCTCACTGAAGAGCCCTTTATTACACCAATCTCTTTAGAAGAAACCTCTGCTGAAGTTCTGCTTCCACCATCTGAGCAGACCCCTGCAGATGAGGTTCTGGTAGAGAACGTGTCTCCAGTAGATCAGGCTCCAAAGGAAGCAGACGTCCCAGTGGCAAAATTAGAATCAGGGATTTTGGAAGATAAGCCAAAATCTGAAGAGCCTTTAGAACAGGATACTGTTCCTAAAGATTCATCTGATACCAACAATGAAGCAGTTTCTTTTGAAATACAGGGTGTCATCCATATAGAACTGGAATAAGGGCCTCCTCCTCAGCTGTGGTCAGATCTTAACTAAGCTAACAATCAGAAACCAGGAGGTTCTGGGAAGTACGTACATTAGAAAATGGTAGGTATATTTGAAGGTATTTGGAGAGAGCTTTGTGAAGAAGGAAGTGAATGGAAATCCTAAGACATGGAGTGTAGTTTGGGAAATGAGTAATAAAAACTAGTGATTTTAAATTACTCTACTATTTTTATTCAAATCTAAAGTGTAATAAAAATATCTATTTTGAAATTAAGTAATTTTATAACTGAAAGAATTAAAATATCCTTTTGACACCAAATCTTGTTGACAAGGATAAAATATTCTCTATAGTCATTTTTTTGTTTCTCCACCTGTAGCTTGTAGTGGAAAAGGCATTTTCTTTTTTGCAGTTCTCTCATCTATTTTAAGTTCCTTGAGTTTTGGTCACACATCTAAAGTTATGGGGTGTTTTCTTTCTCCTTAAAACTTATCATATCTATTATTCTCTTTCCATTTGATTCCTTCTGAGACTTTATGTCTTTTTTGTTTTCATTCCTGTCTTGAACATTTTGCCGTCTGGATAGGTTACACTTCTTTTATAAAAATCTTCACTTCAATGAAACTAACAGTGGATGAAGTATTTTCAGTTCAGTTCAGTTCAGTTGCTCAGTCGTGTCCGACACTTTGCGAACCCATGAATCGCAGCACACCAGGCCTCCCTGTCCATCACAAACTCCTGGAGTCTACCCAAACCCATGTCCATCAAGTCGGTGATGCCATCCAGCCATCTCATCCTCTGTTTTCCCTTTCTCCTCCTGTCCCCAATTCTTCCCGGAATCAGGATCTTTTCCAAAGGGTCAACTCTTTGTATGAGGTGGCCAAAGTATTGGAGTTTCAGCTTCAGCATCAGTCCTTCCAATGAACACCCAGGACTGATCTCCTTTAGGATGGACTGGTTGGATCTCCTTGCAGTCCAAGGGACTCTCAAGAGTCTTCTCCAACACCACAGTTCAAAAGCATCAATTCTTCAGCACTCAGCTTTCTTTATAGTCCAACTCTCACATCCATATATGACTACTGGAAAAACCATAGCATTGACTAGATGGACCTTTGTTGGCAAAGTAATGTCTCTGCTTTTTAATATGCTATCCAGGTTGGTCATAACTTTCCTTCCAAGGAGTAAGCGTCTTTTAATTTCATGGCTGCAATCACCATCTGCAGTGACTTTGGATCCTCCCAAAATAAAGTCTGACACTGTTTCCACTGTTTCTCCATCTATTTCCCATGAAGTGATGGGACCAGATTCCATGATCTTAGTTTTCTGAATGTTGAGCTTTAAGCCAACTTTTTCACTCTCCTCCTTCACTTTCATCAAGAGGCTTTTTAGTTCTTCACTTTCTGCCATAAGGGTCGTGTTCTCTACATATCTGAGGTTATTGATATTTCTCCTGGCAAACTTGATTCCAGCTTGTGCTTCTTCCAGCCCAGCGTTTCTCATGACATACTCTGCATATTAGTTAAATAAGCAAGATGACAATATACAGCCTTGACATACTCCTTTTCCTATTTGGAACCAGTCTGTTATTCCATGTCCAGTTCTAACTATTGCTTCCTGACCTGCATACAGATTTCTCAAGAGACAGGTCAGATGGTCTGGTATTCCCATCTCTTTAAGAATTTTCTACAGTTTATTGTGATCCATACAGTCAAAGGCTTTGGCATAGAAGTATTTTAAAAAGTGTATAATCATAAAGAAAAATATACTGAGATAGCCGTGAGGGCATATTCCTATTTAGTTTTTTACTTTCCAATTTTATTAAGATTTGATTGACATATAGCACTATGTAAGTTTAAAGTATACAGCATAGTGATGTGACTTAGATTCATAATGAAATGATTACTGCAATAAGTTTAGTGAACATCAATCACCTCATATAGATATAAAATTTAAAAAAAATGAAAAAAAATTTCCTTGTAATGAGAACTCTTAGGATTTACTCTCTTTCATAAATAATATGCTACAGTGTTAATTATATCATGTACTTTATATCCCTAGTTTGTATCTTTCGCATCTTTTAACCACCTTTATCTAATTCTCCCTTCCCCCACATTCCACATCTTATAACCAGGAACCTGATCTCTCCTTCTATCAATCAGTTTGTGTGTGTGTTTGGTTGGGTGGCTTTGAGTTATAATTTACCTGCAAAACTATATTCGTTGTTGGTATGCAACACAGTAACCCAGTATTTCTAAACATTGCAAAATGATCATCACAGTAAGTCTAGTTACCATCTATCACCATACAAAGATATAACATAATTATTGAATATATATACCACACTGTGCATTTCATATCTGTGGTTCATTTATTTTATAGCTAGAAGTTTGTACCTGTTAATCTCCCTCACCTATTTCTCTCATCGCCTCAATACCCTGCCCTCTGGCAGCTACCTGTTTGTTTTCTGTATCTATGACTCTGTTTCTGTTTTGTTATATGTGTTCAGTTTTTTAAAAAGTTATTTTGTTTTTAATTGAGATATAGCCAGTGCAAAATATTACATAAGTTTCAGATGTATAATATAGTGATTCACAATTTTTAAAGGTTATAGTCAATTTATAGTTGCTATAAATTCTTGGCTCTATTCACTGCATTGGGAGTATAGTTTTTATAAAATATTGTCTATATCTGTGGCTTATTTTATCCATAGAAGTTTGTCTTAACCCCCACACTTATCTTGTCCCTGCACTTTCTTCTCCTCCCTTGCGACCAATAGTGTTTTCTTAATGTTTGTGAGTCTTCTTCTTTGTTGTTGTATTTACTAGTCTGTCTTATTTTTTAGATTCCACATATAAATGATCATACAGTTTTGCCTTTCTCTCTTTGACTTATTTCACTTAGCACAATACCTTCCAAGTCCATTCATGTTATTGCAAGTGCATCCATGTTATGGCAAAATTTAGTCCCTTTTTATGGCTGAATAGTATCCCATTGTGTATGTATATATGTGTGTGTGTGAGTGTATGTGTGTGTGTGTGTATATATATATATATATATATACACACACACCACATGTTTATCCATTCATCTGTTTATGGACATTGAGGTTGTTTCCATATTTTGGCATTTATAAATACTGCTACTGTGAAAATTGGGGTGCATGTATCTTTTTGAATTAGTAAGTTTGTTTTTTTCAGACATATACCCAGGAGTGGAATGGCTAAGTCCTATGGTAGTTCTATTTGTAGTTTTTGAGAAACCTTCATGACATTTTCCATAGTGATTGCACCAATTTACATTCCTACCAACAGTGTATGATGGTTTCCTTTTCTATACATCCTTGCCAACATTTGTTTTTTGTGTTCTTTTTGGTAATAACCATTCTGACAGGTGTGAGGTGGTATCTCATTGTGGTTTTGATTTGAATTTCCCTGATGGTTAGCAATGTTGAATATCTTTTCATGTACCTGTTGTCCATTTACAATTTCTTTTAAAGTCTATTCAGTTCATCTGCCCATTTTTTAATTGGGTTGCTTGTTTTTTTTTTTTTCAATTTTTTGAGTTGTACGAACTGTTTACATATGTTGGATATTAACACCTTATTGGTCATATCACTTGAAAATATTTTTTCCCAGTTAGTAAGTTGTCTTTTCATTTCATCAATGGTTTTCTTTGCTTCACAAATGTTTTTAAGATTAATTAGGTCCCATGTATTTATTTTTGCTTTTATTTCTTTTGCTTTAGGAGGCAGATCCAAAAAATATCTTGCTGTAACTTAGTGTCAAAGAATGTTCTGCTTATGTTTTCTTCTAGGAGCTTTATGGTTTCCAGTCTTATACTTAGGTCTTTTGTCCATTTTGAGTTTATTTTTGTGTATGGTGATAACGTTCTAATTTCATTCTATGACATGCATCTGTTCAGTTTTCCCAGAGCCACTTATTGAAGAGCCTGTCTTTTCTCCACTGTATATTCTTGCCTCCTTTCTTGTAGATTAATTGATCATAAGTTTTTTTTTTTTTCTTTCTGGGTTCTCTATCCTGTCTCATTGATCTATGTATCTCTTTTCGTGTCTCTGTTTTGATGAATATAGCTTTAGTCTGATATGTAGGAGCATGTTTTCTTCAGCTGTTGTCTCTTTCTGAGTATTATTTTAGCTATTTGAAGTCTTTTGTGTAACCATACAAATTTTAGAATTATTTGTTCTAGTTTGGTGAAAAATGCACTTGGTATTTTGATAGGGATTGCATCATAACTTTGTTATTTTTTGTGTAAAAATAAGTTTAATATTTTAATTTTAAATAGAGAGAATACTCACAAATCAAGAAGACATAAATAAATAAATAGAAGAAAATGAGCAAAAGACAAGGAAGAGTGTTTCATAATGGAAGAAGAGTGACTGAGCAATAAATATATGGAAGTATGTGCAACTTTAGCAATCAAAGAAATATAAATTACTATTGAGAGACAGTATTTTTAGCTAATTTTTTTTATTTTTTTATTTTTTATTTTTAGCTAATTTAATTGACAAAATGGTTTCTTTTTTTAAAAATAAAAGATATATTACTTCAGTATACAGTATTAAATAATCTACTTCATTATATGAATAAAAACAAGATTGGATCATTACCTATCAGCACATTAAGAAGATAATCCCAAAGAATTCCCTGGGAGTCCAGTGGTTAGGACTAGGTGCTTTTGCTCTGAGGGCCTGGGTTCAATCCCTGGCTGGGGAACTAAGATCCCACAGCTGGCATGGCACCCCTCCAGATGATTCCAAAAGAATTAAATATTAAATGTTAGAGGTAATACTATAAAAATATTTGTAAGATATGTTAGAAATTTTTCATGATAAGAGAGGACTTTTTGAATTTCAAAAGCACAAAGTATAACAGGGAAAATTTGTTTAATTACAGTACACAAATTTAAGAATTCATATCCAAAATGGACTCTGAACAGAATTGCTGTTATTGTTGTTCTGTCGTTGTGTCTGGCTCTTTGCGACCCCATGGACTGCAGCATGCCGGGCTTCCCTGTCCATCATTATCTCCCAGAGTTTGTTCAAACTCATATGCATTGAGTCAGTGATGCTATCCAACCATCTCGTCCTGTCACCCTCTTTTCCTTTTGCCTTCAACCTTTCCCAGCATCAGGGTCTTTTCCAATGAATTGGCTTTTCTCATCAGGTGGCCAAAGTATTGGAGCTTCAGCTTCAGCATCAGT